TTTAAAATAGCTGTATGTCATGATTTCCATGTTAAATGTTCATCCAAAATTATACCAAGAAAAGTAGCTTCCTTAACACGATCAATCGAATAATTGTTAAATATTAAAAGCTAGATCAAGGGTTTGCCTGCTTTGTCTCGGTCTGAAAATGATAAAATTAGATTTCTTAACATTAGTAGATAGCTTTGCATAGAACCAACATGTTATCTTTTTCAATTCTAAATTTACAACTTCCATAAGATAGGAAGCATCAGTATGCGAATAGAAGATATTAGTGTCATCAGCAAATAATATCAGCTCTAAGACCTTTGACACATTACATAGATCATTTTATATATACTAAGAATAACAGGGGACCTAAGATAGATCCCTGAGGGACTCCGCAAGTAATATCTAATGATGAAGAGTTGTAACCATTATAATGCATAAATTGTTTTCGACAAGAAAGATAACTTTTAAATCATTTTAAAGCAATACCACGTGCTCTATAATGTTCTAATTTGTCGAGCAAAATTTCATGATTTACTGTATCAAAGGCCTTAGATAGGTCAATGAATACGCCTAAAGTTACCTTCTTATTATCAAGTGCATTAAAGCATGTGCAGTAGAATATTTTTTTCTGAATCCATACAGCAAGGCAACAGTGCGCAATATCGCCTCTCGCGAGAACAAACGGGGCGGAATTTGATTAAATCTGCGACAACAGCTGTTACCCAGATATCACATGATCACTTGTGATGACTCAAAGGGGCCATTTACACGAGGAAAAATAAGACGCGTCTTACATATTTAGACGCAAACTGTACCGTATAAACGGCACATTTCGTCTCAAATAAGACACCACTTAGCTTAGACTCGTCCTATCTAAGAGCCGCAACGAGGAAAAATAAGACGCGTCCTGACAAAGACGCAAACTGTACCGCAAACGGCACATTTCGTCTAAAATATTACACCACTTTGCTTAGACGAGCCTTATCTAAGAACCGCCCTTAACACCTGTTCCTGTCTTGAAGGTTTTGGCTGGTAGGACAGCACTACGCTGACGCTCTGTACGACATTGTGTTTTGCCACATTTGCCGTAAAGAAGAGTTTGATTTCTTTCTCTGTCTTGGCAAGGTCATCAAAGGTGGTACCCACACGCTTGCTTCAGCTCCTCAGGCAATTAAAGCTATGATCGGTGCCATTCCCAAGCGAATCAAGTCTTATCTAGAAATGGGTGTCTTCGTGGAAGAGGAGGAAAGGAGACCTGAAGCAGCACCAGCAACAGAAGTTTTTTCACTTTTGAATAAACTAAACATGTCAAAGGCAACTGGTCTTGATAAGACTGCTGCTAGGCTCATCCGGGAATGCGCAGATCTCATTTGCATCCCTATTTGCGATATTTTTAACCAATCAATTTGTCTAGGTATATTCCCCGATGATTGGAAATGTGCACGATTTAGCCCTCTTTTCAAACAAGGGGACAGAGATGACCTTAACAACTATCGCCCAATTTCTGTGATCTCAGTTGTGGCCAAGGTGTTTGAAAGAATTGTCTACTATCAATTATATTCCATGACATCATCTGTAAATATCAATGACGGCTCTACATGAGGCCACGGTTACTTGCGCACATGATTGATCGTGGCAAAATCAATGATGTCGTATTCCTAGATATAAAAAAGGCTTTCGACCAGGTGGGCCACGAGAGTTTTTAAAAAAACTGAACCTGTAAACCTCTATTGTTTCAGTCATTTTAAGAGGACCGCACACAAACGTGTTCCATCAATGGTCTCCTCTCTGGCAGTAGCTCCGATCGTTAAGTTGTGGTGTCCCTCAGGGTACTATTTTATTATTATTTCTATTATATATTAACGATCTTCCCAACTGCCCGTGTCAAATTGCGAGCCTCGGATGTACGCTGATGACACCCATCTTACCGTACACGAGCAATAATATTCACAATATTCAGCCAAGTTTAAACGAAGACTTAGAAAATGTTCACTACTGGCTAAGAGCAAACAAACTCACTTTAAATATGACCAAAACCGAGTTCAAGTTAATTGGATCTAGGCAAAGGCTAAGTACTGTAACAGATTCCCAACACCTGCAACTAATGATTTTCGAGTTACCCAAGTCTGTCTGTCTCTGCCTATCTCTCTCTATCTATCTAAACAGTGGTAACCCCATACACCGACCTCACACAAGACCTGGGGGACCTTCTCACCGAATATGAGCTCGTGGAAGACCTCATTGAGAGGGGAACACTACAAGAGAATGCAGATGGAACCCCATCCGGCTGCAGAACTATTAAAGTGTCGAGAGAAGTTTAAAAGTTGAGCATTTTCTAATAACATTAACAGTACACGGCTACAAATGTTCGAACATTTAAACGTAGAAGCCTTTGCGCGTATGATCATAACTAACAATTCTCGTTTCGAAAACAGTGAAAATCGGATCGTTTTTTTGTTGTTTTTCGTCTCTTATACTTAAAGTGTATTCTTTTAAATCATTTAAAAATTCACGGCATGAGAGGTAATTTTTCAATTTATGCCATAGCAAGTTATCCACTCCTGTGCTTTTGGGCATGATCGTTTCTCCCGGAATGAAAGTATAAGTAATGACACAGGCGATTACATTTTTCAGCTTCTAGCAGAAAAACGCGGCGCAATTTGCATGTATGTATAGACCTGTATATACAGACAAAAAAAGGGGGAAAGTACGGTCAGCCAAAAATCCCCCAAGTTCCGCCCATAACCTACACGCCAGGTCAGATGAAGCGGCGATTTGAGAAAAGTTAAACGGCTAATAACGCTCGTAATTTCCCTTTTTTCTCAGCTTAAGTGTGTTTTTGAACAACGTCGAGCTTCACATGTGCTGTATTTAAATGCTAATGCAAGAGATCTATTGTTGTCGCTCATTTTTAGATTCGACACATGTTACGTTCGAGCCTTAGACAGATAGAAGGGTTTCGCTGAAAACGAGACGTACTTTACATACCTGTATTTACACAGGTCAGATATTGTTTTGATTTTCCGAGAAAACGAAATGCTTAAACTTTTATGTAAATCTAATAGAGTTGAAGTGTTTGTCACATTTGGCTTTGAACAGCGGTAGGCGCCCCGAGAAAAATGTCTTCTGATCAACGCAGACTAAGCGTGTCTTCAATCAGGCGGTTCCCTGTAGAAGTTCGTGAAGAACTCAACCGCTTTCTTCGCCGAAGTTCATGGCAGTGCCTGACTAGAGAGTTCAGCATTGATGTTCTGACTGGTCTCAAAGCTGAAGCACTCGACAACATCGCCGACTTCGTGAACAGCGACTACCCTGAGTTTCAAGAAGACGTGAGGAAAAGAGTAACGACTCTGAAAAGTACAAAACGAGGTAAAACCCAAAGCTTCAAAGGCAAGAGTAAAGTGGGATTTCACAGCTACTTCTACAGGTATTTCTTTATTTAGTCATTCTTTCGCACTCTCAGGGAGATCAAAGCTACGGCGCTGGCACATGGTTTGTTCTGTAAATGGCCAATTACATACTCGCCCGAGAAGTTTAGCGCTGGCTCTGTTTGGCGAAATGATTTTCAGCCTGAAATTATATGAGTCGGGACCGAAGGCTTGGAGGGAAGTTGGGGGCCCTTGAAGAATTAGAATGACTAACCGATTCTCAAATCGTTTTTCTTTTTCCGTACTCTCCTTTTATGCCAAACAGTTCTTTTGCCTTTCCTGGTTCAGATCATGCGACGTTCTCAAAGGACTTTGATCTTTGTCATTTGTTAACGATGCGGAGTGTCACTACGAATCGACAGGCGTCGGAGTTGGAGTTTTTTTTACGCTGGAGACTGGGAGAACTCTGAGCCACAAGCTTGAAGGAATTGGAGACTCGCGAATCAAAACGTTTCCATTTTCTTCTCATTTCACATGATTGCGTCGCTTTCGATCTAGTGAAAAGTGAGATCGAAAATGGAAGCGGAAGAATTAATAAAGCAATAGCAAGGCAACAGTGCTCAATATCGCCTCTAGAGAAAACACACGAGGAGAAGTTTGATTTTATCTGCGACAAAAGCTGTTACCCAGATATCGCACGATCAACCGTAATGATTTACACGAGGAAAAATAAGACGCAAACTGTACCGTATAAACGGCATATTTACACCACTTAGCTTAGACGCGTGTTATCTAAGAACCGACCTGTTCCTATCTTGTAGGTTTTGGCTGGTAGGACAGCACAACGATGAGGATCTGTACGACATTGTGTTTTGCCACATTTGCCGCAAAGAAGAGTTTGATTTCTTTCTCTGTCTTGACAAGGTCATCAAGGGTGGTGCCCACACGCTTGCTTCAGTTCCTCAGGCAATTAAAGCTATGATCGGTGCCATTCCTGCGCGAGTCATGCCCTTTCTAGAAAGGGGTGTCTTCCTCGAAGGCGAGAAAGAGAGACCTGAAGCAGCACCAGCACAAGAAGGCGCGGTAAGCCCTTATACCGACCTCACACAAGACCTGGGGGACCGTCTCACCGAATATGAGCTCGTGGAAGACCTCATTGAGAGAGGAACACTAGAAGAGAATGCAGATGGAACCCTGTCTATCCGGCTGCAGTAACTAAGTAGGAAGAGAAGTTTAAAAGTGAAACATTTTCTAATAACATTAACAGTGCACGGCTAAAATGTTAGAGAATTTTGGCCTCAATAACGTATAGAAGGTTATACCTCGATTTTTGGATTAAACTAAATTTTCGCCTACCAATCTTGTACACAGTGAGGGTCCCCAATAGGTTTCGTGCAAATTTCGTGCAATCCCGTAATCTCGATGGTTATTTTTGGCATCCTCATGCACCTCATGGGCATACTTTCAATCCCGAATCTCGACCCGATTTTGCTTTCAAATCCCCAATACCGAGCTTCAAATAAGGGAAATCTCGGGTCCCGAAAAACTTATTTGAGACCCTCCACAGTGAATTCAAGATAATGGTTTAACAGATAATGATAATAATAATAAATATGAATGAAACAATGCGGGTGCCAGTGTCTTATTTCGAGTATTTCATTAATGAGGTATTACTACCATATTACATGAAAGAGATGAAATTCTCGCGACATGTTAATTTCGCGATACAAAAAAAATGGCGACATTAAAGTGACGCGAACAATGAGTGTCGCGAACATAACATGACGCGAAAATTAAGTGACTCACATAATGTCTATAATCGTCGGTGTAAATGGATGTTGTGGTCAATTGACTCACGAACAATAATTCACGTACAAGAGTGAACTGCTTATGGACATCGTGAGAACTGCTTAGTTTTTCTTAATTTTGACGTTATTGTTCCTTTGATAAAGTCGTTTTATTTAATTCAAAGAAACTTTAAATAACATTGCCTATGAAATGTAAATTGTTTTACTCAAAAACGCGAATTTAAAGTGATTCAAAATAAAAAAAATTCGCAAAGTCACGAAATTTAAGCGTCGCCAAATATGCGCGCATCGAAATCGCGAAATAAACATGTAGCGAACATTTCGGTAACCGTTGATATGGGTTATGATCAGATCCTGGTGTTCGCTGTTTGAGTTTCAAGTCAGTAAACCATATGCTTGACTTCCGTCGAACACAGGGACTCCGTATGACGTCAGTATCTCGTGATTTTATTTTAAACAACTTTCCCTCCACGAATTATTCTTTTTCAGTTTCCCGCAAGAAAGAGGTGTTACAGTATTTGATGTTTTCCCTGATTGTTATCTGAGAAGCTGATGTAGCGTTTAGTCTAAAGATTGAATTGTAATCTTTGAAGACCACCAGGAGTAAGCTTACATTCTGGCGTTTTTACTCAACTTGTTCTAAAGAAGTTCTAGCGCTCGAAAGGCTTTTAACTATCCTATGGCAAATTCACTTAATCAGTTTGGTTGATTATACCGAATTCATTGTTCTGCAACGAACAACAAAAAGCCTGATCTCTGTTCTATAGGCGCTGAACAATTTTAATTGACCTTAAAGTCTTCCGATTATTTTTGTATTACATTGAAAATTCCTTCCCCTTTTCACTTTCGACCTCTATTTCAAGGGATATTGTTTACTTTTTCAACGCAATTTCGAGTATTATTGGTTACTGGTAATTTACCAATAATCGTGTTACCCCTGTAAAGCCATTTTTATTATTGATGTTATTATTATTTTGTTGTATTTCATTTTTATTTTCCTTTATTGTGTATTTCTGTACTGATTTGTTTATTACATGACTTGGAAAAATAAATAATTGAAAAATCCCAAGACGAAAATGGGTACTATTTGAATTGCGTCTTAGGCCCATGCGCTATTACCTTGCTGAGCAGATGAACTGGCCCTGGGGTGTGGTCTTTGTTAGAAGAAAAGGGATGACACGAGCGTGTGCTCTGTAATAACACTGAGAAACTCAGCTGGTCACAGTAATTCTCCCTCTTAAGACGTGACTACTTTAACTGGTTAGTTTATAATATGTCATATTACAATACCGTCCAGACAACATATGGTTCCCAGAACTGGATTGTGCATGCGTGGTCCGTAATTATAGTACGACGCTAAACTGGAACATTTGCATTCTTCCTCTTCACACGTGACCACACTCTCTGGCTTGTTTCAAAGGTACATTTAATAACTATACCGACCAGACAACAGTCACTGGTCAGTGAAGGGAGATGGGGAGATGGGGGAGATGGGGGAGATGGGGGGTGCGTGTTGTGTGATAAATATCAGTAACACGTTCAAATGGCCCATGTAAATTCTTCATCTAGCGACGTAACCACACTGAGCAGCTTGTTCATACTGAAAATGAAGATCAAAAATATGTTTTCATCTATAGCTTTAATCCACAAAGGTTGCCCATACACGTGAACTGGTCAGCACTCTACTTTAGTCACGGCTATTGTAGCCTGGAACCAGGCTCCTCTGTGAGGAAAAATCAATCACTGAAACCGCAAGTTTAAAAGTGGCCAGTGTGGTAGCTTCAAGACCTTCAAAGTTCTAGATACAAAACTGTACAAGTAGACGTTGCGAGACGCTGATGGATGAATAAATGTGTTAGAATGGCACTGCCTTGTGACTTTACACGAGCTGGCATAGGAATGGCTGGCCATATAACAATCAAGAACTCATTTTATACGCAGTTAGGACAAATTTAACAATTTCCGTGTAACTTCTTCGTCCTCTGGGACCGGCTTTTCACACCAGGTTTCCCGGGATGCAAACCATTTACACAAACCACCCGGGTGGAATTCTCTTGCATAAACATAAAACTATAAAATTTGACGTTGTGGGAGAACGACCCGCTACAAAGTATACCCGATCAGCTGAAAAGACTAAAAAGAAGGGGAAAATTGAAACGCCTGAAATTACAGCCCATACTTTCTGAACACTACTGCTTTTTGAAGCTTCCCAAATGAAATGGTGCAAGCCAACTGCATGATTTTCCAGCCGGAATTTCCGGATTTACGATATCAGCGATAAATACCCCTGGTTAATACCGCCCTTACTTTTGCGACATCGCTTAACGTACTTTCTCTGATAAAAAAAAAAAGTATCTTAAATCTCTGCCAAAGGAGGAGAGGGCGGAGGGACGAGGCTTATTTAAAGAAGGGGGCACTTCATCAAAATAAAGAAGATATTGTAGGGTAGTTGATCCTGTGATGTGTTAGGTATGTAAAAAGTTCGCGGTAAACGCCAAAAATGCAATAGACAATGGCCAAAAACGAAAATTGCAGGCACATACATGGCTATAGCGTACTTTTTTGGAATGAAAGTAGTCTGAAATGTCACAGTTTGGGGGTGGAGGCGTACGACACTTCAGACTAGAATGGAAGGGGAGTAAGAGTCGTACCTTTTAAACTCCTCCTTTATCTCTTTCACTTTGGATGGATGACAACAGATGGCAACAGAGGACTGAGTCGGGTCAAACAGAGGAGCAACATACGTCCGTCCTACCCTGATCAGGTCAGAAAGGGTCACCTGGGAGACTTTGGCTAGCAAGGATCTAGAAGACAACGATAAAACAGAGTTCGTACTTTTTTGAGATCCTCAAATTCTTGACTTTCCATGAATATTTCCATGACTTTTTCAAGTTTTCCAAGACCTTATGTTTAGTAGGCCCGATTTCTGCCGCTGTCTGCGACAAGCGTCCCCTTTCTATTTTGCCTTTCGCGCTTTTTTCGCCCCCTCTCCTTCCTGTCTGACGCGTCTGACAAAGGCTTGCTTGTATGAGGAGGAGAAGCGGGGATGAAAGACAGTACACGTACCTGTTATAGTCGGGGGCTACACCTCTAAACTGTGACAGCAAACTCTGAAACGAAAAAAACGTTTCATATAAGTAAGCTAAGAGTGAAAGGAATGGCAAATTCGCAAACAGTATTTCTTATTTCGGCCGTTTACGCGTGGCCTTTCATACATTGCCTCTATTTCATTAACGAGCGTAAAATTTTCGGGCGTACCTCCGTAAAAATTACGCGACAGTGGAAATCCACCTTAACACAATGAAACGCCTTATGTTGCATTGCGAAGTGTAGCATCCCCCCTTCCCCGAAATGACCTGTGGTTTTCTTATACAACGAGTTTCCCAAAAAAAAAACAACGACCGACAAAAACTCCTAAAAATAGCCTGGATCTGCCCCAAGAACGATAAGGCTCAAGAAAACAAAACATCACGGAGGTACTTACTGCCTATTTTGTGTGTGTGTGTGTGTGTGTAACGCCCCATGAAAAACAACCGCTTCTCTTGTTTCATTTTCGAGAATCAGATAAATAGTCAATGTAAAACTTCTAGTCAGAGAAGAGTGGATTAGAAAACCGCACTATCGACCACAGGTGGCCCAAGCTCAGTATGAGAGTTTAATCATTAATACAAGTGGCTTCATATTGCGTAATCCCTAAAATGGATTTGTGTAGGAATTCAGGTAAAAGATTCAAGAAGATAGATACTCGCTGGAATTTTCAATAAAATACACCTGGCTTCACTTGTTTTTGCTTACTGAGTGTTTATTTTCCCGATCGTAAATTCCCATATACAAATTTTTATGTTCACGGCCATTTTAAGGATTACGCAATATGAAACCACATGTATTAACGATTTTAAAAACTCTCATACTGAGCTTGGGCCACCTGTGTGTCGACAAAAGAGCAAATCAGAGGCAAAATACGGGTTAAAACCCGTTCACTTGTAGAGCAAATGATGGAGTCTTGGAAGACGTTTCTAACTTTTGAGCCTGTGGAAAAAACCCTATGGTACGACCATTCAAATGAAACCTCTTCAGCAGTACTTTCACATGCTACTATTTACTTAGTCTGTAGTTCTGACATTTGAGTCCGTGGAAGAAATACTATAGTGTAACCCGATTCAAGTGAAACCTCTTCAGCAGTAATTTTACATGGTAAACCTTGCGTAAGCTTAACTTTGGCCACCTTTGCCAGTGAAAGGTTTAAAGATAGGGAAAAACCAGACTAATCTGAGTTCACCTCGGAGGCCGCTGACGAAACGCTCTTTTCTCGTTCGATGATCTCAAATATCACACTGCTGATGGCAGATTCCAGTTCACCAGCGTCAAACGACATAGCTCCAGACAGATATCCATCCTGGTAACAACACGACAAGTAATATTATAACAACATTGGTCTGAAATAGGGTCAAGATTTTGAGAACCGGGCGGCATGCCACTACTAAGAATTCCCAGGAGTCATTGACTGGAATGTCAAACCCGTAGGGGGGGGGGGGGTGGGTATGGAGACATATGACATTTCAGGCTTATGAAAAGTACGCGTCGGAAACATCAAGAAACCTGCTTTAACCTTGCAGGTGTTTCATTCGATCATCGATCTTTTCCTGAAAACCTGTTCTCGAGTATTCGTTTACTCATCCTGTAATACTGATTAATTTATATATTGGTTAAAAACAGTATGGATCGCATATCTGTATTTCTGTATTGGATCATGTATTCTTTTGTTTACGAGTAGATGGGGACATACGTGGGGGGAAAAGGCTTAAAAGTGGGCAAACTTATCAGCGGGCAGTTTACAGTTTTCTACGTAAACAGTCCTCATGGCCATGATTATTCGACCTGTTATTATTGCAGTGACGGATCCAGGGGAAGGGTCCAGGAACCCCGCCCCCCTTATTTTCCGACCATATTGATGCCCGACGGTCAAAAAAAATTTTTCGGAGACCGCCGCCCCTTTTCTCAGGGTTTGGATGACCGTCGCCCACTCCCCCGCCCATTTCAAGCTCTGGATCCGGCACTGTACTGACCACTCCAGAAAATACAATAACATACCATAATACTCTTTATTAGCCACTCAAAAATTTTGCATGCGCATTGTCTTTAGCTTCTCTTGGGAGTTAAAATGGCCCCAAGCGAAACTGAAAACAATGCTTATGCAAAGTTTTTGGGGCCATTTTAACTCCCAAGCGAAACTAAAACAAGTATCATGGTATTATGGTATAATATAATAATTTAATAATGGAATGGTTTATTGTCGCAGCCTAAAGGCTGAAACAATCTCCTGAGTTTTCTTGTAAGCCTTCACTGGGTGAGTTGACTTGGTAAGAACAAGATAAAGAAGTCCCCACTCTAAATTTACGCGCATTCTACAAAAGGACAAAAGGAAAATCCTTAGCAAGATTAAACAGACACCTGTTAACGAGAGCGTCCGCTTAAGACAGGTTTTAACACAGACAGCCCAAGCTCAGTATGAGAGTTTATCTTTAATACGTGTGGTCTCACACTGCGTAATCCTCAAAGTGGCCGTGAACACAAAGGGTTTGTGTGGGAATTCAGGTAAAAGATTCAAGGAGATAAACACTCGCTGGGATTTTCAATGAAGTGCACTCTACTTCATTTACTTGGTTTGTTCTTGCTTGCTGTGTGGTTATTTTCCCGATCCGATGCGATTTAAGCTTCGATAAGTGATTTCTTTTACCCCCCGAGTTTTCACTTCTAGGAATTCGTTTTTCGGAGGTAAAAGAAATCGCTTAGCGACGCTTAAATCGCCGCGGATCGGGAAAAAAACCACACAGCAAGCAAGAACAAACCAAAAAAATAAGATAGAGTATATTGAAAATCCCAGCAAGTATTTATCTCCTTGAATCATAGTTTTACCAGAATTCCTATACTAATCCTTTATGTTCACGGCCATTTTGAGGATCAAGCAATATGAGACCACACGTATTAATAATTAAACTCTCATACTGAGCTTGGGCTGCCTGTAGTTTAACTGTAAATACGTCTGCATTGATCAGTTAGAAAATCAAAGGTAACGAGCCTTCCAGCTAAACAAACGACTGGGAATACATACCCATAGCCATATGACAAACCGAGACCTCGAACCTGACGCCATATGGGACCCTGCAGAAAAATTACAATTGATCACTTACGAGAAACGAAAACATGTTTCTCTGACATACTTATTCCCTCATGTTAACTGATTTTACAGATTGAATGTAGAAGACTACTGCCCTTATACTAGTACACCAAGTACGTTGAAATCATCGCGCTAAAACGCTTGTCGATTGCTGTTGAAATACTGGACAAAAGCTGTGGATTTTCGCCTCACACCTTCTCAACCCATACTTCTATCATTCACCTGGTTTCTCTCCTCGCGCGATGTTCCGCCCACATGTCATTGGAAAAGAGGTGACGTAAGAGGGAAGAGACACTTACCTCAAGTGTGGTTAGACATTCTAGAAAGACCATCAAAGGCCCAAGGTCTGGGTGATCAAAGCTGTCAAAACATCGAGTAACTTGGAAGAGGAATGAAGACTCCACTGAACCAATTCCCGCTATTTTCCCATGTGTAGGGTTCTTGGCCAGAAACGCACTGGATTTCCGCACGGGAGAGATGCTGTATTAACAAAAACATGTACTGGTATTTAAAGCGAATGCAGTTAAAGCCATGACAGCGGTTGGTCAGAGGATAAAAAGAACATAAAATGGAAAGGTAATAAAATGTGATTTGGGTTGGTCGGTTCTCTCATAACAAAACAACTAATGAAAAAAAAAAACAAATGAAATCTTGTTATCAGCTTTTCTGCCAAAGGATTAAGAATCTAACTGAAAACTTTTAGCAGAATGAGATCACAGTACTGCTAAACTAGTTTCATTTGAATGGTCACGTTTCAGGTTTTTTAGTGCGAGAGACTTCTCGGATAAATCTTATTTACCGGATGTGCGTAAGAGGCGTAACAGCGTGTTCCAGGTTCCGAAATAGTTGGGTCTACGAAGCTGACATACAGTAAAATTCCGAAAATAAGCCCCGGGGCTTATATTTTTCAAAGGCCCTTTTAGAGGGGCTTATTTTTGGAAGGGCTTATGTTCGGAGGGGCTTATCTACGGAGGGAAATTTGCGTTTCGAAATCGATTGGGCTAGCCTTATAGTTGGAAGTAAATTTACCGTTTATGCTTTGTTTTGCTTTGTAATTTGAGGGCAATTTTCCAAGTACAAGCCCCCGGGGGCTTATATTTGGAGGGGCGATTTAAAGGAGGGTTTTTGCGTTACCGGTTTGGGGGGGGGTATATTTGGAGGGGCTTATTTTCGGAAGTTTAAGGTATTACCGCGTGCCTATGACCTACGCGTTATCCCCGCTATCTGACAGCCTGAAATAAGCTAGAGGCGTAAGAATTTGAAAATTAAGACAGTGGAGCCAGTGACAAAATATATATGGCTGGATATACTGATGTGCTTAAATTCATACCTTGTTGGTACTGGGACTGAAGCATCAGGCAATAACTTGGTTTTCCAGAGCATATGTGGATTGTCAGGTAATCTATTCACATCTGCCGCCACGTGAACTCTCAAGTTTGAAGGCTGCGTCAGGAGAGAACGCAGCTTCTCGACCCTCTCAATAACCTGAAATTGAATTATGGGCCATGCGGGTATAAATTGAGAGAAAAAGTATAGACCTTTAATTTTACTGACCAATCAGCAATACTAAATATTTCAGGCAAAATGCCTTGCGAAGAAGCTCTACATTCATGTACGAGAGGCAAGAACATTAGACTACGAGCAGTCCCCATTTTTCCTCAGGGATAGAAGAGCGAGCGAAACGCGAGCGCGCGTGAAAATCACCCCACGCGAGAAAAAGCGAGACGCGGTGGAGAGATTTCCACGCACACTCGCGCTTCGCTAGCTCTACTGTCCCTGAGGAAAAATGGGGAATACACGTACGCCGTCACGAAACCTGTACTGGATAGGGCTTCAATTTACATGTAGGAACGGTGATTTCGGCACGATTTCTGTCTAATCAAATCTGCATTTCTACACATTTCTGATATGATATCTCGACTTAGCGATTATCTGTTTAGATGTTTGGGGGTTTGTTAGCAGTTCCCAGGCTCCGTCGCGTAGCACCCGATCAGAAGCGAGAAGACTCCTCTGCATTGGGCTCAATAATTTTCGCAGTCATTCCTCGTGGGGCAGGAACGCGCGACGAGCCCCTAAGAACTTCTGCGTGGAAGGCTAGCGCTGGAGAATCCAAAGAGAAAGACTACTCGAAAGTCACGGTCACCAGAAAAGGACAAAGAAAACAAACCTGAGTGGAATCAGCTTCCAGTTCAGTCATAACTTTGTTTAAGAAACTGTACTGGCGCACCATATTGGCTGAAAACATATTGCTTTCTAAAAAACACACAAAACAACAACAACAACAGTGAAGTTACATGTATTCAAATAAGAAATTTGTTTCAAAAGAATTAATAGATTGATTTTCCGCTTTTTGAATGAGGCATGGAGAAAAAAGAGTGATTATGCCGTTTGTAAAGCTGTTCTTAGGGTCAGTGACACGACAGTAAACGTAAATCCGGGCCAGTTCTCACCTCTAGTAAAAGCAATGTCTCTAATGAGAACCTTGGTCACAGTTCTGCCATCTCGCTTCATTCTGTTCAAGATTATCGTTAAACAAAGCACAGAAAAACATTATTTAGTACAACGTGATACTAGTCACTGCTTCATAATTGCCTTGTGAGTCATCATAATCATCATCATCATCATCATCATCATCAACGTCATCAACACAGTCATTATCATAATCATAACCCCGCCTTAAGCCTGTATCCACTATGACTAGTCTCACCTGGCAACGTCATTCATCATCTTTTTGCCGACAATTTCCAGCCGCTCTTTAGTAAACTGAGTCTTGTAAAGCAGGTCGTGAAGCCAGTTGACTCCCTTCTCATACTTCTCAACTTCAAGCTATAGGTTGCGGGCAGAGCACATGTTAATCGCGTGAATTACAGGAGAAGGCGGAGAGAGGGGCAACAACGCTTACTTGCACTATCCAATAGGCCGCTGTATGGAGATATCAGAACTTACAACTTGCTAATTATAAATGATTACATAGATAAAAAATTAAGACAAATCCAAAATCCATACGGCTGCAGTCTTGGGAAAAATAGGCGGAAAATTTATATTCCCCCCACCCCCTCTTCGGTTCCTCAAACCAAGACTAGAAAAATGGCGCCTTTTGGTCTTGGGGCGGCTTTGTCATTATCAATAGGCTGATTTAGCTTCAGAACGGGAACGTCATTAGATGACGGGTGAGAGCGCGGAAAGGACTAAACTCGACTTCCGGTACCCAATTTGCCGCTCTGCCATTGGTCAATCCAGTTCTTTGATTTGCGCGCGCAGTCGTCAACAGACGTTCCCGTTCTGTTGCTAAATCAGCCTACTGAGTTTACGCAACAGGACTGCAGCAAGAAGAGGACGCCAAGACGCTTGTGTGTGACAAACGTGACAGGGTTATTAATTGCGTGTTTTGTCGTGACCTTCAATTAAATAAATGTTTTCTGGTCTTTTACAACAAGATCTGTTTAAAGGAGGGTGAAGCTTGGCGGAAAGTTTTTTCATACAAAATTATTGTCAAGCCTGTCACACAAGGTTTGCCGTCTTCCTTCCTCTCCCGTCCTGTTGCGTAAACTAACTAATTGATTTTGGGGGAAGGGGGCTTTGCTGTTCTTTTCTATCCTGTCTAAAAATGCAGTCTTGTAGAAAATACTCCAGGGAACGTTATTCGAATTAATTTTCATGGCTGAATAAGATAGCTGAAAATAAAGGAGTTATTCAGTGTGCATATGAAGTCCCACCTTAAGTGACACACAGGCCAGTTGTGAAAACTCATCTGGCATGAACCTTCTTCCTTCCAGTCCTAAGCAAGACACTTGACTAAGAGTGTCGGCAGCCAGTTCTGCTACGACTTGCTCAAACGGAACAAGACCTGAGGTGAAGCATCACTTCATAATTAAACTGATGTTTATGGTTACGGAGTCTTATGAGTAAGGTTAAGAGGCTGTTCATATGGAGAGGGGAAGATCCCAGTACCAGGATGATCCTAGAAGGCGGAATAAATTTCCTTTCAGCAGAATTATAAACAGTGATTGGATGAGGTTTCTGTAATATCCAAAATAACCAAGGTCGAGGTAGGGGTTATCAGCCTCAGCCGATAACCCTTACCGAGACCTTGATTATTCTGGATATCACAAAAACCGAACCTAATAATTGTTTTATTATACATTGAACGGAAAAAAAAAATGTTCACGACAGTAAGAGGAACTGATAATTTATTTCTAATCGTGTGAAAATACCTCACGTTTTCTCAGTTTTTTCGCTTTCACGTAATCAGCAAACAGCTCCTTTGCCACCTTCGTCGATATTTTTGTGTTTTGTGATTCCTTGTCTTCAACTATTTTTTTCGATGTCTCGCTCGGTCAACGAAGCAAACTTGGAAGTCATGTTTTTGCTTCTTCACTGACTGCAAGCAACACAAAGCGCGCGAACTTGACATGGTTACCCTTAGAAATCATGCACCGCGGTCATACATGACATGATTACCCGTGACCTTGAGTGTCCTTGACATGATTATTGTATAATCTGCACATATGACGTCTCAGGAGCTGATTTCGAAAATTCACTGTACGCTTTCGGCCAATCAGAAAAGAGATAGTGAGTTGAATGTATAATAATCGCAATAATCAGCTCTTGGCAACGACAGACGAAATGGTCAGCTTGCCGTGATTAGCCACTGAACGATCCGCCGCCATTTTTGTTTGGTATCTCCCTAATACTAGGATCTTCCTAGCCAAAGGCAGCTTTCATGGAGCTAGGATCTTCCTTCTCAGCTAGGATGATCCTAGTACTAGGCACAAGTACAACTCTTTGCATGTAAACCGAATACAGAAAACATATGGCGCTGGATGATCCACCTTCTGGGATCTTCTTCCCTCCATGTAAACAGCCCGTACAGGTGATGTTACACGAGACAATTCGCAACGACGATTCTTAGCGCAACACAGCGTTGCAACATTGTTGCGACATTGTTTCGAAAAGTTACAACATTGTTCCATCACTGCGCAAAAAATCGTCGTTGCGAATCGTCCCGTGTAACATCACCTTAGCATGTGGCTAAATATAATTTAGGCGAGGTTAAACACAAGACGATGCTGGCCAGCGGTCCCTATCACGAATCGCATATGGAGCGGTCTTTGGGCATGTGTAGAGCACTGCGTGACTCCGGCCCGAGCGGATGCGAAGGAGACTAGTTAGTATAAATAGTGTCCGTGTATTGTTGCTTCAAGGCAAAAAGGTTTGCTCCACTTTGTCTCTCTCCACTGAAGTGTAAAAAAGAGGTTCCGCCAACATACTGTTGGGGTTACCCCTGTGATAAACTAGTATCCCATCCAGGAGAAGAAGCAATGGTCTTGGAATGCAATTTATGCCAAGACACGTTTTCGATTAAGCCCCTGCGCAATAGCCCTAATTTTCTGTATAACGCGCAAGTTCTTTACTTATGTTTGGCTGCGAACTGTATGGTGACAAAGACAAAGGTTACAGACAGCATGCAAGCGAATGAAGGAGCCAAATTGTGCTAAGAGAGAGCCAATAATTTCGCATACCATTTTCTCTCAATACCGGAGACTCAAACAAAACTTCCAGGTAGAGGCTAAGGTAGGGCTTGAGTTCCTCTGGTATGCTTGCTGTATCCATCAAAACACTAACCTGAAAACGAACAAAAACAAAGAGAAAGATTTACTTCTCGAAGCGCTTTTCAAAGGACTGCACTTACTCAAAAAAGCGGTACGATCGCTGAAAAAAGTTTAACTACAGAAGCGGTTATATGAAAACAAAGGTTTTCTCTTGATCAAACAACACTTGGGCGATTGTTGGAACAACGATCGCTGGGATAGACCTCAGTTAAATCTATAACGGTTCCTACAATTTCAGACAAACAAATTTCAAGGACGTTTCAAGGATTTTTCACGGACAAATTACAGTTTTGCGATCCCTGCAATTTTTGGAAGTTGTGGGACGAAGGTTTCTTTTCGGGATGCTACCTTCGCTTCTCGCGTAACGTGACCTCGGCGCTCGCACTAATCACTAACACAAAGAGACTTCTCCCAGTCTATTAACTGATGTGTGGCCGTGAGTGAGTCAAATTAACCCGCAGAACAAGCGTTACTTTTATAGCGTTTTTCAGGCAAGCGAAGGCAAGCGCGAAGCGAAAGAGGATCGCGAGACACGCGCGACGG